AGGAAGTGGGCGAAGCAGCTCGGTGGTGCCTCGCGTCCTCGCGAGAGGAGCCTCTCGGGAGTCCCCGGCGCTTCCTGGCCGCGTTTCCTCGCCCTCCCGCCCGCCTGCACCCCGGGGAGGGCCTGCCTCTGCGCCCGCGTCTTCATCTGGATTCCGGCATCTCTGAGCTGCGGACCTGCCGACCGTGCCGGGCCCGCGGCCGAGGGACCCGCTGCACAGACCCCGCGGGGCCGTCCACACACACACACACACACACACACACAGTGGCGACTGCGCGTGCGTCTGCAAGCCCCCACCCGGTGCCGACTGCGCGTGCGTCTGCAAGCCCCCCAGCCTCGATGGGAAACCCGCTTAGAAAACATTGTTAGGGGACCTGCAGGTCAAATACCGGACCTGGTGGCTTTGCTTTCTCACTTTCCCTCTCCCTCTGTATCTCTCTCTGGTCAAATTAAAATAATGAATAAATAAAATTAGATAAGTAATTACTTTAAAAGGAAATAGTAAGTTAGTAAATAAGCAGGACATAAAGTCATTCCAGTAAAACCAGTAGTCTTTTTACATACGAATAGCCAGTGATAAGCAGCCGAATTTACAGTACCAATTCAAAAGAAAAGGGGTCGGCCTGTGGCCTCCTGGGTAAGGGGCTGGATCAGCCTTGGACCTGCAGTGTCTGGGCGCTTGTGTGTGCCCAAAAGCTGGAGAGAATGGAGAAGGGATTGCAGTGTGACCATCCGGTGGCGATGCTTTCTCCCTCTCTTACTGTGTCTCTCGCTAGCGATCACACCTGTCCTCTGGCAAATTAAGGGACAGACACAAAACCTAAGCAGAAAAACTTACATGGGAAATGTCAGCACACTTCCCAGGTAGACAGCTATGGGGGGAGGTCACAATGTGCCAGGGAAGGGGACATTGGACACACCAGCCACTTCCCAGGGTCCCTGGCGCCAACAGGACAGCTACCCAGCAGTACTTTCGTTACCTACGCTTTCCTCAAAGACCTAGGGAAAGTTTCGGGCTTCCCTCCAGCACACAGGAACTCTCTGGGATGTGCCAGTCAACATCGCATTTCCTACTCGGCAATAAACATGGCAAAATCACCCCATGGGCATGCTCGTACTGCAAAGTCCACACTGGGCATGCCTACCCAGAACAGTCCAATTCCCTTGGCTGGTGATTGCAGCAAGGACAGCAGGAAGCCTGGGGAGTGAGAAGAGCGACTGCCATGACAGCCCTCCCTTGTAACTGCATGACAGCTGCCCTCCTGGCACCTTCCTGGCATGGGTGTCTGTTTTTCTGTTAGTAATCTTTGCTTTTCTAAAAGTTCGAAAAATTCTTTTTCATAGTTTACTCATGCTTGCAGCTTTGTTCTGCATTTCAAGGCATGTCTCTAACCTTAGAAGCCTGGACCCAAAGATCTGAAAATTTTCACACAACACAGCCCAGCTTAGTCTGATAACAGCTAGTGGTGTGGTTGTTAGGCTGGCTGGACCCCACTGTGCGGTTCAAGTCCCTGACCCGGGGCTTGAAAAACACACCAGGTGGGTGTGTGTGCTGCCCCAAATCCTGACAAGAGGTAGAAATGGAGAAGGGTTGCAGTATGCCATGCCTGATGGGGGGTGGTCCTCTCTCTCTCTCTCTCTCTCTCTCTCTCATGAGCACATATTCTCTGCCAAAGAAAAAAAGAGAGAACTACTAAAAAGCAAAGTATGAATTTAAATAGAAAGCAATATACTTTCTTGTGTAGAAAGCTGAAGAGGTCGATTCTCTGTATATATATGCACCATAATTAATACCCACAGTTTGTCCTGGGATAACAAACTGATTGTAAATTTCACATTGGGAAATAAGGCCAGGAAACAGCAGAGCAAGTACGAGGGCCCGCGTGAGAGTACTGTCCTGTCAACTTCATGGGGCAGCTGGGCCAGCCCAAAGGTAGCCCAGGAAGCTTATCCGAGTGAGCCAGGGAGACGCCAGGGAGGGGTGCACTCAGCCTCAATGCAGCCCCACCCCTGCCCGAGGGTGCTGCGTACCTTCTGGTTTAGTCCCAGATCTAGAGTGAGGGGCGGCCGCACCCCTGCCCGAGGGTGCTGTGTACCTTCTGGGTTTATTCTCAGATCTAGAGTGAGGCATAAATGGACTCAAAAGCCCCTGGGAGCCCATGCTGACAACCAGGGTCATTTCCAACTCCAAGATGGTGTGTCCCAGAGCTTCTCATTTATTAGTGTGAACATAGGAATACAGATTCTATTTACGACTAAGAATATTAACAAATGTGTAAAAATTCAATAATTAGAAATGGAAGTTAGGGGCCAGCAGGTGACATGGTGGTTAAGGGCACTGGACTCCCACAGGGCTCACCAGGGTTCAAGTCAGCTTGCTTTCTCATTCCCCCGACCCTTCTTGCTCTGTTTCCTCTCTGATCAAATTAAAAAATAAGTAAATAAATAGGGGATCAGCAAGTGGCATGGTGGTTAAGAAGCTGGACACTCCCACATGGTTGACCATGGTTCAAGTCCTGGACCTGGTTCACTTTCTCTTTCTTTGTCTCTCTCTGATCAAATTAAAATAAATGAATGAATAAGTTAAATAAATAATTCTTTAAAAAATAGGTAAATAAAAAAAGTTAAATAATTATTTAAAAAATAAAAAAGAGGGACCAGCAGGTGGCGTGGTGGTTAAGGTGCTGGACACTCCCACATGGCCAACCACAGTTCGAGTCCCGGACCTGGTGGCTTCCTTTATCTCTCTCTCTCTCTCTCTCTCTCTCTGTCTCTCTCTGGTCAAATTAAAATAAATGAATGAATAAATAAAATTTAATAAATAATAATTTTTTAAAATAAATGAAAAAAAAAGCAATAAAAAGAAATGGAGGTTAAGGTGGCTGACCCCAAGGCTGACTGCACTCCCAGCAGGGTGCACGTGTGCCCCGAGTCCCAAAAGGAGGGAGAGACAGAAGAGATTGTGATGTGGTCACCCCACGGGCGTTTCTCACTCTCTTGCCATCTCTCTGGTGTATGCTCACACCGTCCGGCAAACTGCAGAGACCCTAGTACTGCAATTATCCAACCATGCTGCTTCAACAGGTGACAGGCTTTCGAGATGCCAACAGACTCAGAAAACTGGTGCGTGCAAACCCTTTCCAGATGCATATTTACTTGATGCGGATTTTACCTAGAATTGAGTCAACCACATCCTCAACTTCCCTATAAAATCCATCTGTATTTCTCTGAGAAATAACCTTAACACACAGTAAATAAACATTGCATAAATCTAAGATCTTTGACAAGACCTACCATCAGCCCCAAGTAGTGACACAAGTGTGGTTCCACACACTGTGACACAACCCAGCACACTACACGGCACTGTGACACAACCCAGCACACTACACGGAGGAACACCACCGTCACTGCTCCGTCCCTGAGGGCACATCCGTCTCATTTCCAGGCCCACTTCCTAGCTCAGGAGGGAGTGTAGCTCTCAGAGAGTGGACCTGGACAAGACTGGGAGAATGGAATGAAATGTGTAACATGTAGAAGTAGTGATTTTTCATCTTTGGGCATTTGTTAAATAAACCACAGAACACCAACAAATTAAATAATATACACCTGGAGAAAGAAGTTCTCTTTGACATGATTTGGAAACCTCTAAATATGACGTCTTTTCATGAGCACAGCAAGGTACAGAAGAGGATAAAGCATATGCCATCTTTTTGTGTAATGGAAGAAATAGACCACGGATTCATAATCTCTTATACTGTCAGTAAAAAGCACTGAAAGATACACGAACTAGTAAAAGAACTTTCTAGAAAAGGGGAAGACAGCACATTCTTATACTGTTTCAACTTTTGAACCATGTGAATAATGAATTATCTTTTTTTAAAAAAAAGTCCCATTTTTGGGAACCAGCAGTTAGTGTAATGGCTATGTCGCTGGACTCCCATGTAGTCGACCGCGGTTCGTGTCCCGGACCCGGTGGCTTAAAACTCACGCCGGGCGCGTGTGCGTGCGTGCCCAAGATCCCGAGAGGAGAATGGAGGAGAAGGGATTGCGGCGTGACCATCCCCCCTGGGGGGTGATTTCTAGAGGAGAATGGAGAAGGGATTGTGGTGTGTCCAGCCCCCCTGGGGGGTAATTTCTCGCTTTCTGTCTCCCTGTCTCTGTCTTTCTGGCGAGTGCATGCATGCACCCTATAGCAAAAACCTCTTCAAAAAAAGAAAAAAGAAAAAGAAAAAGAAAAAACACTACAGGGGACCAGCAGATGGTGTGATAGTCGACCGTGGTTTGAGTCCTGGACCTGGCAGCGTAAAACCCACACCAGGTGTGTGTGCATGCCCAAGATCCCAAGAGAAAAATGGAGGAGCAGAGATTACAGCATGACAATCCCTCGGTGGGTGATTTCTCCCTTTCTCTCTGTGTCTCTGTCTCTTGGGTGAGCGCATGTGCCCTACACCAAAAATCTCTTTATAAAAAAAATTACAAAAATAAAGTGCTTCAAGTGAAGTGTAGTGGGACGAGCCCTTCCAAGTGGGGAACGCAGCTGGGAGGGCTCCCTGAGCCTAAAGCAGAACCCCAGTAACAAAGCTTGTAATTTATGCTTGGCAATATCTAATGCTTGAGTGGTTTAGTAACAGGGCACTGTCCTAGGAACATGTAAGCATGAGACCAGACATGCAGGACCCAGTGCACTAGAGAGCCCCCACAGGTGAGACAGGTGTGCAGGACCCGGTGCACTAGAGAGCCCCCACAGGTGAGACAGGTGTGCAGGACCCGGTGCACTAGAGAGCCCCCACAGGTGAGACAGGTGTGCAGGACCCAGTGCACTAAAGAGCCCCCCACAGGTGAGAGACAGGTGTGCAGGACCCGGTGCACTTGAGGGCCTCCACAGGTGAGACAGGTGTGCAGGACCTGGTGCATTGGAGAGCCCTCCACAGGTGAGACAGGTGTGCAGGACCTGGTGCATTGGAGAGCCCCCACAGGTGAGACAGGTGTGCAGATCATGAACGGTGAAATCAGCACATGAAGTCATGCTCAGGGCTGCAGGGCCAAGCTTTCACACAGAATCTGACATCACACGAACCTTGGGCTCTCGGCCTGAAGCTCGGGGACCTGGCCGTCCCTCCCATGCTGGGCTCAGACCACCACTGGCTCAGGGACGCGGTGGAGGTGGTGCCTGCTACCGTGCCTCGTGCTGGTGACCCGCTCGGAGGGCCCGGCTGGAGCCAGCGCCCGGGTGCACCCTGCGGTGCTGGACCAGGTTGCAGTGGTAGATGAAGTTCTTGCCACACTCATCACAGGCAAATGGCCTCTCTCCAGTGTGAATTCTCTGATGCTTCACAAGGACGGAGCGTCGGCTGAAGCTCTTGCTGCACTGGGCGCACTGGTGAGGCCGCTCCCCGGTGTGCACCCGGAGGTGGTGGAAGAGCCCAGCGTTCTGGCTGAAGGCCTTGCCGCACACGCTGCACCGGTAGCGCTTCTCGCCTGTGTGCAGCCGCTGGTGCTGGAACAGGCCGGAGCGCTGGCTGAAGGCCCGGCCGCACTCGTCACACTCGTATGGCTTCTCACCCGTGTGCGTCCTCTGGTGCTCCACGAGGATGGAGTTCTGCGTGAAGCTCTTCCCGCAGTCACCGCAGGCGTAGGGCCTCTCGGCCAGTGAGCTCCCCCGCGGCCGCCCCAGCCTGCCCTCGTGCCCGTGGGTGTCTCCACACTTGGGCATCGGGGCGGGGTCGCCATTCAGGCTTCCGAGCATGTCTCCCAGGGGCCTTCCGTCTCCAGAGATGCCCCTCTCTGGGGCCACCTCCACGTTCCAAGCCCCAGCCTTGTCATCTGAAATGATGACATGAAAGACAACATGAAACACAAAACGTGGCGTGCTGGCATGAGGGTACATGTGGTCTTTCCAGAGACAGAAGACACAGAGGCAGGAGCGGGCCAGGGAGGGACGCACACTGTCCTGCTGAGACTCTGAGGCCAGCCACGCCGGCCTGAGAGAGGACGCACAGAATGTCCTGGCCCACCTTACCCTCCCCGTGGACAGAGCTGGGACCGAGCCAGGGCCGCGAGAGCCGGGGCGTGAGAACCGGGTCATGTGGCCTGTTCAGCACCGTGACCAGGCAGACACAGCCGCTGGGTGAACGTGCTGACTGGCTCCCTGAGACACGCTGACCCTCACCGGTCTCCTGCACGGAGTGCTCCTTCCAGGTGTGGACCTGGCCCCACGATGCTCCCCGAGTTGCTGTCTCCTCTGCAAACTCTTCCTGTTCATGTGCACAGGCTAGGACCTGGTGGGGGTTAAAGACAGAGAGACCAGCAGGTGGCATGGTGGTTAAGGCACTAGACTCTCACATGTTTGACCATGGTTTGAGCCCTGGGCCTGGTGGCTTGAAAACCACACAGGGTGCATGTGCATGTGTGCCCAAAATCCCAAGAGGAGAAGGGACTGTGGCCTGGTCATCTTCCCTGAGGGGGTGCTGTCTCACCCTCTTTGTTTCTCTGTCTTTTTCCAGTAAGTGTACACATCCTATAGCAAAAACCTTTAAAAAAAATTTACTTTAATTAAAAATAAATAATTAGAAGGACCAGCAGGTAGTGTGGTAGTTAAGGCGCTGGACACTCACACATGGCCAACCACGGTTCGAGCCCCAGATCTGGTGGCTTGCTTTCTCACTGTCCCTTTCTCACTCTCTCTGTCTCTGGTCAAATTAAAAAAATAAATTAATGAATAAGTAAAATTAAATAAACAATTATTTAAAATATAATAAAATAGATAGATAGAAACAGTGAGAGCCAAATATCAGGGAGAACCTTGCAAGGAGGCCTTCTCAGGGCCCCTGGATATAAAATGAAGGGCCAGAAGCTGGCCAAGAATAAACAGGGTGAGATGAAGAGCCACTGCAGATCCAGTCGGGCATGGGAAGCTCGCCTCCGCTGCTTTCTCCTGTTACACAAAAGCCCCAAGCTTGTTCCCCTCTGTACAACTCCCTCCTCTCCATCTCTCCCAGAACGAGCATCTCACCTGCGGGCAAGGCTCATCCAGCTCCCGCTCCAGCTCCTCCAGCGCAGTCACCGCCTCCTCCCCGCTCTCGGGGCGCCGCTCGCGCACCCAGGCGCGCAGCTCCCCGGGCAGGATGCTCAGGAACTGCTCCAGCACCAGCAGCTCCAGGATCTGCTCCTTGCTGTGGGCCTCGGGCCGCAGCCATCGTCTGCAGAGCTCGCGGAGCTGGCTCAGGGCCTCGCGGGGCCCCGGGGTCTCCTGGTAGCAGAACTGTCTGAAGCGTCTGCGGAAGAGCTCTCTGGTAGGAGAGTGGTTTCTTGACAGGCTGGATTCTCGGGGACAGACAGGGTCCCTCTCCGTCTCCTCCACCTTCACTGCCAGACGACCTCTGGGCAGTCCCACTGTCTGAAGGGCCATTTTACCGTCCCCGTTCAGAAAGAGGATCTATTCCTGATAGTTCCCCCTGAGCTTCTCCTCTGGAAACACCAAGATCTATAAAATAATTGCAGAGGAGAGAGATGACGTGCAGAAAACCTAGTGACAAACAGGTACCAGGAGTCCCTGCACCGGCAACGCCTGACCAGGGACAGGAGAGGTGGGAACCACACAAGCCCAAACCCGCACACTTCGATGGCCGCCTGAGTAGTCTGCACCGGACAGGACCCCAGCTCCACACATCGATGGCGAGCGGACGCTGTCAGGCCCCTGGGCCCAGGGGTCCCTCGATGGCGCCAACAATCAGGAAAGGAAAATGAAACGAAGGGTGGAAGGCAAGGAAAGGTCAGTGATGGAAGGGATCAGGCACTGGTGCCGGTCTGGGAGGCTGAGTCCACAGTGGCAGATCTGGGGGACACCCCCTTCCCTGTGCCCCTCCACGGGCCTGGGCTCAGGTTTCGGGCCTCAGTCTCCTCACCCTGTACCAGAGTGCCTCATCTTTCCAGACTGGCATGCAGGGCAGAGAAGTGGCAGCGTGGGTACGGATGGACTGTGGGTCACCACTGCTGCTGCTTTTCTTGCAAGAGTTATGGGAAAACTAAACGAGGACCTAGTGACCTGAGCGCTCAGTGGAAAAAACCTTAGCATAGTTTACTGCAACGCTCTTGGCCCAGGACACGGCGGTGAAAGAAGTTCTAGTCCTTTAAACCGGGGTTGAGTTTGAGCTTTCTCATGCTTTAATGTCCTGAACTTCCCTATGAACCCCCTTGAGCATCAAAAGAGTGGGCAGCTTTATGTAAGGTAAGATCTCTGCTAAAAAAGAGATAGACCATGACCTCTTCAAGTTCTACAGAACCTTAGCCAGGATAAGAATTAATAAGGGCAATTTCCAAAGGCATACTTATGTAACCGAGTGATTTCTAAGCGCCAGTTTTGGGCCGAGACTTTCAAACTTTGACCAGAACCCTCAATAAGAAATATTTTGGAGTCAGCAGTGGCATGGATGTTAAGGCTCTGGATCTCATGTGGTCAACTGCATAGTTTAAGTCTAGACCCCGTGGCTCGAAAACTATGCCAGGCACATGTGTATGCCCAGAGAGGAGCCTGGAGAAGGGACCTCGCGACGGCCACCTCGCTGGGGTATGATTTTTACTCTCCCTGTCTCTCTGGCCAGCTCATGTGCTGGGTAACAATAAAAAGAAGTGCTATGATCCAGAACACACATGCATGTATAATGAACGTATGTGCATATATGCAATAACTGCACTAATTCAAAAGACGTTGTGTTTCTGACTCATGTTAAGTGACACGCTATTTCAGAGAGGCAGAGGCACGGCACGACAGGCTGCTGGATCCTGGCTCCTCCTGAGGGGACCACCCAGAGGTTTCCGGCAGAGGGTGACAAAGCTTCACTTACAGCGGACAAAGGCGTACTGGCTGCAGGGTTAAGGACGACGTTTAAAGTGGACGTTGGGAGACCCTACGGCAGTAATCCGGAGATGACGGCGGCCTGACCCGCGTCAGGACTGAGACTGTCTGGGAGCAAATGTAACAGGGAGACTGCGAGTCCGTGCTCTCACGGGCTGGCTCCACCGAGCAGCCAAGGCTGGAGCCCACGGGAGGTGTGACCAGGATCCCACGAGCTGGAAGGCTGGAAGGGGATCGCGGCGTGGGCCGGGCCGGCCCGGACACCCTGCGGGCCGCGCGGCCTTGGCAGGTCACTGGCGTCTCCTGGGAGTTGGGGCGCGGTCTGCGCACTAACGGCGCCTGCCTCTCGGCGCTACGCAGTGAGGACTCGGGAAAGGGCTTCGGCCAGGGCCTGCGAGCCGTCTGTACGTCCGTCCGGGTTTGTTTTTGATGGGCGTCTAGCAGGGGCCACGTGAACGTAGGCGGAGGCCCGCTTTAAAGCCATCCTTGCTGCTGTTCGCGACAGATCCGCAGAACCGGACGCCGAGAACGCGAGCGTCCCCGTCCACGCGGGCAGCGCCGACCCGGCCCCGGCTCCGTGGCCGCCCCTCCCACACCCAGGCCGGGCGCAGCTCACCCGGGCCCCGCGGGAGCAGGAGCCGCTGCGCCGGGCCGTGCGGTCCCCTGTCCTGCTCACCCGCAGCCCGAATACGCCCAGAGGCCGGAAGTGCGTCACGGCGGCGCGCCTGTCGTGGAGCAGCGCGTGCCCGCGGTCCTTCTAGGAAGCCCGGAGGCCTCCGCGCTCTGTGGTGCCTCGAGGCCCGCGCGGCGCAGTGACCAGCGGCAAACAGATCGCCGCGGCGTAGCTGCCACCGCCCCACGCGACAGCCTGCACAGCAGCCTAGTGGAGTCTACAGCCCAGTGCTCCGTCCAGACCCCCTCGACCCACTTTAAAAGCACATCCCGCGTGCCGGACACGTGTCTGTGCGTGCCCAGACCCGACACCAGGGAGAGAGGGACCAAGGACGTGGGCAACCAGGCCGCACGTGCCGGGCCTGCTCCCGCCCTTCTGGCCGGCGTGCACGGTTCGGAGGGCTGCGCGCTGGCCGGGGCTCTCCGCACGCCCACCTGCCGGGATCCTGCCTGTGGCCTCCGTCGTCCGGGAAGACCGCTGCTGTGCACGCAGCGTACCCACACTGGCCACCTCACGCTCCTCTTCCTCGGGAGCTCCGGGATGCCTCTCCAGCCTGTCCTGATCCCGAGGATCTCGGACGAGCACTGGGCGGGTGCTTCCCGGCTGTCAGTGCACCCTCCGAGGGGCAGAGCCTTTGGGTGCTCCCTGCTCTGGGGCCGATCTCCCATCCTCAGGCGTAGTGCCACTTTCTAAAGGAAATAGTTTGTCTTTTTTAGCTTTTCATTACGGATAAATTTAGATATATGTAGAACTAAACAGAACAAAAGGTTGCCTTTTGTTTTCCATTGCTGGAGTACATGCATTCGCCAGAGAGAGGAGAGAGAGAAAGCGCCCCAATATGGGGCGTGGTCACGCCGCAGTCTTCCCCTCCATTTCTGCACCCCATCAGGATTCTGGGAAAAGCAAAGAAAACAGCCTTTCCTTCCCCCCAAAAAAACAGACGAGCAGGGACTCTCTATTCTGTACACTGCAGTATTCCCAGAGAGACAGAAAATGAAAAACCACCCCCGGGGGGATGGCCATGCTGCAATCCCTTCTCCTCCAACTCTCCTCTTGGGATCCTGGGCACACACGTGCACACACACGACCTGCGTGAGTTTAAGCCACCGGGTCTGGGACTTGAACCGCAGGCAAGTAAATGGGAATCCAGCGACATAACCATTATGCCAACTGCTGGTCCTTGGAATAATTCTTAAACATTATTTTTAATGACTTCTTGGTGTGTTTTTTTGTTTGTTTTTAGAGAGATTTTTTGCTATAGGGTTAGGGTTAGCGTGCACTGACAGAGAAAGCAATGAATCACCCCCCCAGGGAGGACGCTCCGGGAAGGATTCCATGCCCATTCCCTTCGTTCTCCTCTCAGGATTTTGGGCACGCAGGCACAGGCGTGAGTTTTAAGAATCCCGGTCTGGGACTCACACTGGGGTGGGCCATGTGGGAGTCCAGCCATGTAACATTAAGCCATCTGGTGGTCCCTCCAGGATCGTTTTTTAGAAGTTTACTGGAGCCAGCAGGTGGCGTAGTGGTTAAGGTGCTGAGCCACCACAGTTTGAATCCTGGACCTGGCAGCTTGAATCTCACTCTGGGCCTGTGTGCACACCCAAAATCCTGAGGTTGATTTCTGTCTTTCTGTGGCTTCAGTGAGCACACGCACCCTAGAGCAAAAATCTCAACAATAAATAAATAAGTTAATTCACTACCAATGATCAGACCACAATGTTCCTAGTTTTTGTCATAATAAAAAGTCCTGGGAACCAGCAGTTAGCACAATGGCTATGTCGCTGGACTCCCACGTAGTCGACTGAGGTTTGCGTGCCGGACCCGGTGGCTTAAAACTCACACTGGGCGTGTGTGTGTGCGTGCCCAAGATCCCGAGAAGAGAATGGGGGAGGATTGCAGTGTGACCATCCCCCTTGGGGGGTGATTTCTCGCTTTCTGTCTCTCTGTCTCTGTCTGTCTGGCGAGCACACGCGCCCTATAGTGAAAAACCTCTCCCCCCCCCAAAAAAAAAAGTCTACAGTATACATGATCTCTGCACAAACAATTTAGAAATACAGGAAGTGAGAAATCCCCCCCTCGGGGTAGTTACTAGGGGGATGGCAGGGTAGTTACTAAGGCGATGGCCATACCACATTCCTTTCTCCTCCCCTTCTTCAGGATTTTGGGCACCCACATTCCTGCAGGCAGCATGAATTTTAAGCCTCTGGGTCCAGGACTCCAGCCTAGGTCAGCTAACCAGGAGACCAGGAATGTAACCATTTCACCGTCTGCTGGCCTCTGGGGGACGGATTCTCACAAGTAGGATTGTTCAGAGGAAGAGTATATGCATTTTTAGTAATAGATACTATCAGTTGTTTTCCAAAAGATTATAACCACTTAACATTCCAAAGGACCTTTTCCAAAATTTTTCTTGAAATTTAGTGGTATCTCACATTAATTTTATTTGCTGATGTATCTTAAATTTATATCTCCAGATTTTTTTTCTGAATGCCATGACCTTTTGTCATTCTACACTTAGATGTCTCGAAGGCATTTCAAACAAATATGTCCAAACCCAATCTTGTGAGTTCTTCCTCCAAACCTGGTCCTCTTACAATGTCTCTTTGGTCCCCTTGTCCAAACCAGAAACATGAACACCTCTCTTCACCCTCACACACAACCCATCAGAATATTGTCAGCTCCCCTACGGAGAATGTCACACCACGCCCCTTCTCCTCCATTTCTCCTTTCAGGAGCTGGGCCACACCTCACATGCACCCAGCATGGTTTTCAAGCCAAGTCTGGCCTCAACCATGCGGTCAGCCCTGTGGGAGCCGCTGCCTTCACCACTACGCCACTAGATGGCGACATAGTACACGTTTTAGAAGCACAATTAGTGACAACTACCTGTGAGTCGGTAGTTGGGACAAAATAAAACATAAAATTGTACCCATAGGTCACTCCAAAACCTCATTCTCTCCCTCCAGAGAAGTAAGCACCATCCAGCATGTGGTGGTTTTTATTCCCATGGACATACATATACACAAAATCTTACATTCCCGTGTGTATATGTACATTTTTCTTTTTCTTTTTTTCTGTGTACATTTTTCTTAACTGCTTTTCCTTAGCTTAATACTTTGCCTGTGAGATCTGTGGTGTCGACAGTCTTGTCTGATCACGTATTCTCACTGCCATGCCCTGTTCCAGCTTAGGAATCACCCCAGTCTCCTCACCACTCTCCTGTAGATGAGAACTAGGCTGTGTCCTGCGTGTAGCTCTTATGAGGACTGCCATAGGGAGCGAAGGGCATCTTCCCTCCTGCAAACGTCTCTCTCACTGTCTCTCTCCAGGGAGCACACGCAGTTCTCTGTCTCTCTCACTGTCTCTCCAGGGAACACACGCACCCTACAGTAAACTTTAAACAGAACAAACCCAGCTCCACCCCAGGACCTGGAACAGGGCCTGGTCCATACAAGGTGGCCAGGACTCTTGGCCGAGGTGACACCATAGTGGTGGAGTGCAAACGCAGGCAGGTGAAGGGCCGCCAGGCAGCAGCTAGGAAGGCACTGCGAGCACCCCTCAGCGGCTCCTTCTTCGGCCCTGGACGTGCGCCCACCAGGCAAATGAAGCTTCTAAGTGATCAGCACTGTGGGTGTCCTACTTCGTTTTGTGAGGGTTAGCAGAGCTTGCGATTGTTCTCCGTCCTCTTCTGAAGGTAAGCGTGGCCGTGGGAACGTCCCACTGCATGTATGGTGGACGCACCGTTAGCCTGTGTGGTGCTCCTCAGGGGCCGGCGACAAAGCTGGACTTGTGTCGCAGAGCGGGCGTTGGCAGCTCTGAGTAAGTTCTGGGGGTGTCCACGCCACACCTGCCACGGAGCAGCTCCGTCACCTGAGGGTGCCCAGGCCATGCACGCCATGGAGCAGCTCTGTCATCTGCACCACACACACCACGGAGCAGCTCTCTCATCTAAGGGTGTCCACACCACGCACGCCACGGAACAGCTCCGTCAATATTTGTTGGAGAAAAAAATGAACCACTGGGTGGCAATCCTACCAGGGTTTCCTCTGAGGGTGGGATTGTTATTCACACAGTTTAGGACTAATCGGATCAGGATCAGAATTTGGGGGAAAGGAGGGACTGGCTTTTCAGGAAGAGGAAAACAAGGCCCCACTGGGATTCGAACCCAGGATCTCCTGTTTACAAGACAGGCGCTTTAACCAACTAAGCCATGGGGCCGACAGACGACAGTGCCCCGAGAGCGGAGCTGTCCTTGGTGCCCGCACGGCGGCGTGCGGTGGAACCCGCAGCCGTGAAGACCCGCTCGCGCGCAGTCGGTCCCCGGAGTGAAGCCCCGCTCGCGCGCAGTCGGTCCCCGGACACCGCAGCCAGGGTGCCCGCCTCCGAGCCGCCGGGGCCTGCGGAGCGAGCTCTGCGTCCCCGCCCTCCACCTAACATTCTGCCTCGGCCGAGTGTCCCGGCTGGGGTCTCGGAGGAGCCCGCGGACCGCTGCGGATCTGCGCGCTCGGCCGGGAAACAGGCGGGCCTTGGCGGCTTCACATGCCCGGACCCGGGCCGGGTTCGAACCTGCCTTCGGCATCATCCGGGCTGGCGGCGCGAAGAGGCGGGTGGTCGCTGAGCGGGAATGCCTACTTCCCGGAAGGGCCCCGAGCGCCGCCGCGCGCGCGTCCGATCCCGCAGCCGCCCCTGAGATGCTCCCGGCGCACAGCGGCGTGGGCGTCCGCAGCGCTCCGCGTGGTCCGCGGGGACACAGGGGCCAGAGCGTCCGGGGCCGCGGGGCGTGGCTGCAACCGCGGCGGCCGCCAGGTGGGGGCGCGCTGGCGACGTGTGGTGGGTGAGGGGTGGGCGGGAGTGCACGGCGGAGCGCCCAAGTCGCCGAGGGCAGCAGGGTCCAGCACCGCAGCCGGCAGAGCCAGGATCGGGTGCTAGGCGAGGGGCATGGGGTCCTGGGGGGCGACTGGGCCCAGGCCGGGGGAGGGAAGTGGGCTTTCGGACTCTCGGGCCCTGTAAAAGC